GATACAGGTAATTATTGTGTTGTGAAAATATTCATACACTCACTTTGCGCCGACGTGCGGTGCCTTTTCATTTTGGTAATTATTCGCTTGGATGAGAATTTTACCTTTATAGACTGATTTTTCGCCATTCCACCCTTCTGATTTTCTGTGCCTTTAAGAACGGGTGTCCGTAATCAAAATATGAAAACATTTGTTCATTTCATATACTTGCAGTTTTATCAACAAGTTATCTCGTGAACAGGCACAACCAAACGTACTAAAGACATGTAATAGAGATCTACTATCAACTGCTGTCAATAAAGGCTTAATTCAAGATAAATTATAAATGAACCGATCATGTTGGACGGTCTCAAATATTGCATATTTTCAGCGCCCTCAATCAATCGCCTATATAATAATCTTTGTCGAGCCTTAGCGCAGCAAACAATTCACAATTTCTTCGATTTCCACTTCCTTTGTAAACATCACTAAACAAGCGCTATTCTGTTGCAACAACAGCCACTTTAATTTCCCAAACAGCTCTAATTGTTTTACACGAAAGCATTTTCAATGAAATCCACTTTATTATTATTATTATTATTATTATTATTATTATTATCATTATATTTTTATTACACAGTCATTTGAAACTTTTACAGGCACATGTATGTTCACCTGAAGTAAACTTCCGGACTCTCAAGCGCATCTTTGGTCCTCTAAATGATAAAGAGTAGAACGGTGAACTGTATTAAGTGGAATATCCTCTTGACAAACAAGTAGAGATAACCAGGCATATCAAAAGTTTCACAAACAGCAAGTAAGTTATATAAAGCGATACGTCCCCAACGAGATGAAACCTTCACTAAAGCCTGATCTGGTAAATTTTTCTCACCTTTCTCTTACTTCGCTCGCTTTCAGCTGATTTCGTTTCCTCAACATTCCACGTGGGAACAGTCGGAAAGACGCAAATTCCAAATCCATCTTTTCGCAACCTGTCCTTCATTGCATGGTATCGCTAGTCAGAGCAGAAAACATGACTGAATAGTCTTCTTCTCGGAAGTGGTTGGAACACACGGCCGAGTATTTTGTGGGCTTCCAATGTGTACGCTTCAATTGCACAAAGTCAACCCACTTCTTTCTTCTGTTTCTTTTTCTGCGGGTCATCTGCCCCATAAAAAGGTATCGGATGAAGTGCTATTCTTTTTTCTTTGTTGGGAGTGTTGCTACACCCGAAAACAACGTACTTATCAGGCATATCCGTCAAGATACTTCATCCAGTCCTTGACCCTGAAGCAAACTCATTGGAAAGCCTGGAATGACGTCATAAACTGTGCTCGACCCAGACCCATCTGTTGATAATTCCCTGCCTCGGTCGTGTTTTGAAAAAATGCGATTTTCCACGACTAAAATCGCGGTTTTAACCAAACACAAAAATATTTGCGACACTTTGCTCGGTGCAATAGAGAGATTTAATATGGTCAAAAACATTAAGGTATAAAAATTTTTTCTATAAGACCCCTTGCACATGACGTCACCAGCGATTTAGGATCACGTGACAGTTTCCATCTGGAGGACAACCTAGCATGATAGATCGAAAGAAATATATGAAGAGACGTCAATCATGGTCAACTTTTGTGCCGTATGTGGCTGTTCTAACCGTTCAAATCGTAACAAAGACAAGCGTTTCTTAGGAATACCTACTGTCAAGAGTAATGTCGGAGATAATTTGAAATTGCTTCAAAAACAACGCCAAAGCGAGTGGGTAAAGAGGATCAAACGTGAAGACCTGACTCCAGACAAGTATTCGAACGCTCGTGTTTGTAGTGATCACTTCGTATCAGGTAAAA